GGGTGGGGGGGGGGGGGCAGCCGCGGGAGTCCCGTCCGCCCCCCCCACCCCCGCAAACTCCCCGCACACACAGCGCACACGTGCACGGGCACCGCGTTCCCCCCCCGCCCCGGGGGACACGGGAGGGCAGGGAGCCATGCAGCACAGCCAGCTCCATCCCCACTACCCCGAGAGACCCCGGCCGGCTCCCCCCGTGACCGCCCCACCAGAGGAGCGGGGGTCCCGGTGCTGCCCGCGCCCCCCGACACAAAGGGACCCGGTGACACCCCCCCCCCGGCGGGAAGGGGGTCTGGGGGGGGGACCCGGCACCTTGGGGTGACACGGAGGGGCCTTGCCCGCCGGCTTTCCCGCGCTGCCTGGATCCATGGGGACCCCCTCCTGCCCCCCAAAAGCTCCCTCCGGTCCCGGCAGAGCTCGGGATGCTCCTCGGGGTTTGGGACGGGCCTGCGGTGCTGCCAGCAGCCCTGACGCATCGACGCCGCGCACACCTCTGGCACAGCTGCCATGGCAATAGCCTACGTGCCGGTGCCCGCCAGGGGACAGCCGGCGTGGGCACACACATGTGCTCTGGTCCCACCTCGCACCTCCTCCTGTCACAGCCCCGCAGCAGCCCCAGCACCCTTGGGTGCCACAGGGCTTGGTGCTGGCACAGCACCCTGCCCCAGCACCCTGCACTGCCAGCGCCGCGTGGCACCCCACTCCAAAGCCGTGGCTGGCGAGGGTTGTGCTTGGGTATGTGGGAAACGAAAACCCGGGCTCAGCTCAGTTTCCATCTTGGCCAAATGTGATGCACAAAGGCAGGTCTGTGCCAGCAGCTGCTGATGCTCCGTCTCCGCCGGAGCCTCCGGCACACACCAGCCCTGTTCGGAGGCTGGGATTTTCCACAGTATCCCCAGACATAGCGACACGCTGCAGTGTCCTGGGTACACTCGCAGCGGTTCCCGTTTCTGCTGCAGATACTCACCAGCAGCGGCGTGTGGCACGGCCGGCCCGCAGCCGCCGGCCAAACCTGGTGGCAACAAACAGCTCGAGGAAAAACCATCCCCAAAAAGCGGTGGCCGGGGCCAAGGGGGTGCCAGCCCCCTCGTAGGGTCCTGCTGCTGGGGCGACCACGCTCCAAAGAGACCGCGAGGTGCCAAATCCCGCAAGGTGGGGAGGTGGGGTTGATGTGAGGGTGTCTCATCACCACTGCCCCATGGCACCGAGGGCCAAACGGAGCCTGGCAGCAATGTCTGCCACCAACAGCATCCTCCCTGCGAGGAACACGGGTCCTCCATCCCACCACAACCACTCTCCCTCCAGCTCCCAAGGGACCACAAGGGATCCCGATGGAGCGGAGCATCCTACACACCTCAGCGCCCAGACCCTGTGCTCCCCACTTGCCTCCACCTCCTCTTCCCCAGGGACCCCCGGTGCCACACTCTCCAGTGCCCGTGGCAGGACATGGGGCAGCTCTGCAAGAGCTGGGGGACGGGTATGTCCTCCCCCAGCCCCTGGGGCAGCTGTTGGGAGAAGGGTCCCACCAGGCACCCATGGGCAACCGAGCCCAGCACCCTGGCAAGGGTCTAGGGACACCCTGGGCAAGGTGAGGGGCAATGCCACGGGCACTGGGCTGGTCTGGCAGCTCCTGCCCGGCTCAGGCAGAGGTGAGAGGGAAAGGCAGGGCCCGGCGTTCCGGGCGTGCGGTGCCCAACCGAGCAAACCACGTGAGCCGGGAGCCAGCTCCAGGATGAGGTAATGGGCCCGTCCTCCCCTGCGCCACAGCCTGGCTCCGGCCAGGGTGACTCAAAGGCTCTCCTGGCCGGTGGCAGCGCCGCCAGCCCTGGCACTGCCCCGAGCCAGCAGCCCACGCCACGGGAAGGTCCAGGCTGGCTCTGGCCATGGGGCAAGGAGAGATGCACCCAGAGCGATGTCCCAGGCAGATACCCCAGTCCCACCAGTGCAGACCCTTGGCACTGCCACCCACAGCAGAACTGGCCACATTTTCCAGGGTAAACACCTCGGCAGTGGGGGAACCGGGCACCTCTCCAGGAGCTGAGGAGAGTTCGAGTCTCTTCTCTCCCTCCTCCAGCCACCACCACCATCTGCCCGGCTGCAGGGTGTCCCCATGGCAGCGGGGAGCCCCCATGGGACATGGCACGGAGGGGCTGTGCCAACCCACCGGCCGGCTCCAGAGTGGGCAACATGTCCCTGGCTACCACCAGCTGATTTCCCTCGCCCGGCGGCTCCCAGCCACCCCGCTGGTGACACCGTGCTGTAGCCCGGGCTGATGGCACCAGCGGTGCCACCAGGGCTGTGCCAGGGCAGCCGCACAGCGCCCGGGCCCAAGGAGCCCCGCAGAGCCCCAGCCCCAAAGGAACCCCTCCGAAACTGAAGTCTCCTGGAACGAAAGTTTATTTATCTGTTTAATTAAGATGTGTTCACCAGGCGCACAGACCCCGTTCCATCTGTCTCACTTACAGCCGCGTCCCAGTAAAATTAAACCTAATAAATATCAGACGAGGGAAAGCAAAGGGCACATGTAAGATATATGATCAAAGGCAGAAGTTGCACAGGGCTGCAGTTCTAAGCACATCTTTCTCTCTGCCCTTCGGGGATGGGTTGGCGATGCGCTCCTATGCACAGGATGGGGCTGGCTTTCCTTCAAATCAGCACTATTTTCATTTTTTATTTATTTTAAATGAACCCTTGAGGGCTCCTTGGTTTTGTTTTCTGGAAGAGGTAGAACAACACGGCACCGGGACAGGAGTGGCCTCGGCCTCTGGTCCAGAGCCCAGCGAGGCACCGGCGCCGAGGGGCAGAGCCTGCGCTGGGAGGGCTGATGGGCACACACCCCCCAAACCCCCAGGAGAACCCTACAGGGAAAGAGTGACCCTTGGGGCTGATCCCAGACAGCTGGGACACACTGGCCACCCATGGTCCAGAGCTGGCCCAGTGGCAGAGACCTGCTGGGATGTGCCCGAGGCGGCCGATGCGGCACTGCCAGCTCTCGTAGAGATGCCAAAACTGCCGGGCACTGAGCTCCCCTCCCAGGCACACTCACCTCTGCCATTTGGAATCTTTACCCAGCAGAAAGGAGGGCTCCCAGCCCTTGCCTGGACTCCCGACCCACGGGGCACAATGGGAAATCCCAGCCCCAGACCTCACCGGGAGCCATCCCACACCTTCTCCTGGCAGAGCGGGGTGACCTGGTGGCCCGTGAACCTGCCAGGGATGCACTAAAGGGACACAAAGTGCAGCCACGGGGGGAACTTGTGTTTAACGGGACCCCTGTGACACACACCCTACCCCCTGGCCATGTTCCTGCAGTGCGATGCGGGATGCAATCCCGGCCGCTGATGCTCAGGAAGAGCTGCCAGGAACGGGACCAGGGCACAGCCGGGGCACTGGGACCGGCCAGGTCGGGCACTGCCATCACTCAGATGGAGAGTGTAGGGCCAGCAGCCCCACAGCACCCCAGGAGCGGGGCACCCGCCTAGTCCTCCCCTCCCACCTGCTCCAGAGTGCCCCCAAGCCACGGCATTCATTAATTAAAAGCTCATTAGTAGTTAGTCCTAGACATAAAGCGATTAGACAAAGGCGCTGACGGATCTGAGCTGCGAGGAGAAGGGCCCGTGTGCCCCGTGGGCTCGGCTGAGGGTGCCCCAACACTGGGCACAGACCAGGACAGCGAGAAGGGACAGACAGAGCTGACGGGTGACAGCACCACATGCCTGCGAGCTGTGTCCTGCTGCAGAAAGGTCCCTGCCTCCGTGGCCACCTCCATGCCATCGCTGTGCCACTGCTCCCTCTGCCTGAGCTCCCCTGGGCTCTCCCAGCCCCTCTGCCAGGGCAGCGTCAGGATTTATCTGGACTGCCCCATGCTGCCCTGAACCCCACAGGCTCCCCCACAGCCAGCCACGCCGCCCAATATAGCCTATTGCTGGTTTCTTGCTCCATCTCCAAACGACAGACGTGGTTTAAACCAATCACAGGCATACTGGAACCCAGTATGGCCATTATGGAGCAGCCCCGCCAGGGCACAGGGACCCCAGGAGCGTGGGTGGGACATTGGGAAGGATGCTCAGGTGGGATGTGGGAAGGATGCTCAGGTGGGATGTGGGAAAGATGCTCAGGTGGGATGTGGGAAGGATGCCCTGGGTCCCCGGGGATGCCTGGCCGAGCCTCCTCTGCATCCAGATAAACTTCCTCCCCCTTTTCCCTCTGCTCCTTCCTCCTCCTCCTCCAATGGCTCTCAGGGGGTCACCGGAGCCCTCCCCTGCCCCACTCTGAACTCCCAAAGAAGCTGGAGACTGCACTGGAACCTCTGCCCTGTGCCTTCCTGGCACCCTCGTGGCTGCTGACCCAGATCCTGCCCGTCCCCGGCTGCCACCTCCCTGCCTGTCACTGCAGCCACCAGGTCACGCATCCCCGGCAGGGCAGTGATGTCACCAGTACCCAGGTATGACCTCACCAGGTGAGGAGGGGACCATGACCAACAGACAGCAAGAATTTGGGCCAGCACCCGTCGCAGCCGGGAGGGGAAGAGAAATGCAGGGAAAGCACAAGAAGAGATGTGCGAGGGGGGAC